TTCCTACTCCTTTGGTTTCCCATTATTATGCTCCTACCTCTCCTATTTCTCCTGTGGTTCCTTCACCCTCTTTCTCTCAACATTCTTGTCCTCCACATGCTTCATCTTTCCCTCCACATTCTCCTCAGCATGCAACCTCTTCTCCTTCACATTCTCAGTCCAGCTTTTCTTCTTCTCCTGCATCTAGTGTTCCCTCTATTCCTCTTCATGTGCACATGCCTATTCCTCCCTCTTTACCTCCTTCAACCACCTCTACTCATCCTATGTTCACTAGATCCAAAAATGGTATTTTCAAACCAAAATCCTTCTCTAGCTCTCTGTCCTCTTCTTCTTGTTCTTTGGAACCTGTTACTCCAACTGAGGCTCTATCTCATCCTGGTTGGAAGGCTGCTATGTGTGATGAGTTTCAAGCCTTGGTAAGAAATAATACCTGGTCTCTGGTTCCCTACACCTCAGACATGAAAGTCATTTCAAACAAGTGGATTTTTAGGACCAAATACAAGTTGGATGGCTCAGTTGACAAGCTAAAAGCCAGGCTTGTTGCTCGAGGATTTCAACAAACAGCAGGGGTGGATTTTCTTGAAACTTTCAGTCCAGTGGTTAAAGCTTGCACAATTAGATTACTCTTTACTTTGGCAGCTACATTCTCTTGGTCAATTCAACAGATTGATATTAACAATGCATTTCTCAATGGTGACCTTCTTGAAACAGTTTACATGTCTCAGCCTGAAGGTTTTGTTGATCAAACTCATCCTACTGCTGTATGCAAACTCACCAAATCCCTATATGGTTTAAAGCAAGCTCCCAGGGCTTGGTTCAATAAAATAAGGGGTTTTCTGTTGTCCCTTAAGTTTACAGAATCTGTTGCTGATTCATCTCTATTTTTTCAAAAATCCAATGGTGACCTTCTACTGGTTCTTATATATGTTGATGATATTCTTATCACTGGTGCCAATCCAAGAACAGTTCAGGCTCTCATTGCCACCTTGGGTAAGCAGTTTGCTCTTAAAACATTGGGTGAGGTCAATCATTTTCTTGGATTTGAGGCTTTGAAGTTAGCTTCTGGTGCTTACATTTTAAATCAGTCCAAATATGCATTGGATTTGCTAGCTAAAACAAACCTTGTGCATTGCAAGCCTGTCTCTACTCCCTTAACCCCTGCTCACAAGTTACATCTTAATGACAGTGAGCCATTTTCTGACCCTACACTGTATAGAAGTGTCATTGGGGCTCTTCAGTACCTCACCATGACCAGGCCTGATCTTTCTTTTGCTGTAAATAAGCTCAGTCAATTCTTGCATGCTCCTACATGCTCTCACTGGACTGCCTGTAAACACCTTCTCAGATATGTTAAGGGAACATTGGGTCTTGGTTTGCTGTTTCAACCAGTCAAACGGTTTTCATTGGAGGCTTATACAGATGCAGACTGGGCCAGCTGCCTTGATGACAGGAGATCAACAGGAGGTCATTTTATATTCTTGGGTCCTAATTTACTGAGTTGGAGTTCAAAGAAGCAACATGTAGTGTCCAGAAGCAGTGCTGAATCTGAGTACAGATGTCTTGCTACTGCTACCACTGACCTACTCTGGATGCACTCTCTTTTTCAAGAGCTTGGTTTATTTCATGAGTCACCCTCGATCTTGTGGTGTGACAATGACAGTGCTGCTGCCCTTGCTTCCAACCCCGTTCAGCATGCTCGTACTAAGCATATCGAAATTGATATTCATTTTGTGCGTGAGAAAGTAGCAGCCAAGGACATTGAAGTTCGATATATTCCCTCTGCTTTGCAGCTGGCTGATGTTCTTACAAAGCCTCTTCATGCACCTCGATTTTCTGCTCTGTGTGCCAAGCTGCCTCTGTTTGATAAAACTTCCCATGCTCGGTTTCAAGGGGGTGTATTAGAGAATGTTCACTATACTGACTAGGGTAAGTTAGTTAGAGTAATTAGCACGCTATGTGGTTAACTAAGCGTAGCATTTATAGTAAGTCAATAGAGAGAGAGAGTCTCAGTTTCTGTATAAATACAGTTCAGATCTGTAACAGTGAACATTGATCAATTTCAATCAAAGTTTATGTTCAACAGAGCTTAGTACTTAGTACATTTTGCTCAAATATTTATGTAGCTTAAGGAGAGTCGAGCCTCCGACAGCTACCAGTCAGTCAGCACTTGCCTAGCAGTAGCAGTTATCAGGTAGGGGTCACGTACTGGTTATACATCGTCTTTAATTTCCGTACCATGTCCGAGGTATGTATGAGAAATAGTTAGTTCACCATGAGGGAGGCCGTGGCGGGCCTTAAAGATCCCCCGTGATTCTGAGGGAGGCCTTAATTGGCCTTAATGATCCCCCGGAGTGTGCACATGATTGGCTTTTAAGCCCAGGGTCTTTATGACCACCAGATGCCCCAGTTATAGTTTCAGTTCAGATCAGTTCTTATATACTTAAAGTCATGATATTGTTATTAACGATGTTGTATAATTAGGTACTGGTCTTTGTGGAGCATAGTGGTTTTGCTCATGCCCCCATTATGTTTTTCAGGTGACGGAGCGGCGCGTGGCGCGTGAGATTTCAGTGGTGGTCGTGGTCATTAGCAGTCTTTTTGTAACGCATCTACATGTCATTTATTGAACATGTACTATTATTACTATGCGTAGACATATTATGTTTCAGCTTCCGCACATTTCAGACTTAGTATGTATTATGAGATTATCAGACTTATGCATGTATAATGTCTTTATCTGCGTGGTACCTTTATATAACGGATTTGATTAGGTTTCATGTATTTATTTACGTCTGCATGAGAAATAGTTTAAGTTAGTAGCATCCCGCAAGTTAGTATGAGTATTTTCGAAAATAAAGTTTAAGAGTTTTTTCGAAAATAAAAAGTAAAAAACTTTACTCTGATTTTATAAATTCTAGAAATAATTAGGCGGGGTGTTACACTATACCTATTGTTAGAGAACAATGAAGAGGGACTCCTTTTGGATAATGATCCAATAAGCTATGATGAGGCGATGTCAGACATTGACTCAGATAAATGGCAAGAAGCTATGCAATCCGAGATAGACTCCATGTATTCAAACAAAGTATGGACTTTGGTTGATCCACCACAGGGTATAGTACCCATAGGTTGTAAATGGGTTTACAAACGAAAACGTGGTGTAGATGGAGAAGTTAATACTTTTAAAGCAAAACTGGTTGCTAAAGGTTATACTAAAAAACAAGGTGTTGATTATGAGGAAACTTTTTCACCAGTAGCAATGCTTAAATCTATTCGGATATTGCTAGCCATAGCTGCGTATTAGGACTACGAGATATGGCAAATGGATGTGAAAACTACTTTTCTTAATGGAAACATTAAGGAAGACATTTATATGAAACAGCCGCAGGGTTTCATATCCAGTGGGAGCGAGCAAATGGTTTGTAAGCTTCAAAGGTCCATTTATGGACTTAAACAAGCTTCGAGGAGTTGGAACATTCGGTTTGATGAAACGATCAAAACTTTTGATTTTCATAAGAATCCGGATGAACCATGTGTTTATAAGAAGGTTAATGGAATGCAGTTGCATTTGTTGTTCTCTATGTTGATGACATCCTACTCATTGGGAATGATATAGGAATGTTACAATCAACATGGACATGGTTGTCTAACCAGTTCTCCATGAAAAATTTGGGAAAAGCATCTTATATTCTAGGGATAAAAATCTATAGAGATAGATTTAATACCTTAATAAAAAAAAAAAAAAGGTTCAAACTTATTAATAGGTATTCAAATGTGTATTCATTAATAACTTTCTCATTAATACCGGTATCCAAATGTGTATCATTTTATTTTCACGGCTTTTGAGGACTCCACCCATAAATAATTTTGACCCAAATTATACGTTATTTAGGTCCTTTAGTTTAATATTATTATTCGTTACATCACCAAATAATAATATTATAGGGTGTCCACATTTAATCATTCCACAATCAAAATTAAGTTCCTTAGCCGATGTACAATAATTTGATCACTTTATTTTTGGCTAAACAATATAATAACCCAATGTATTAATTACACATATTTAATCCCAAATAGATCTAACAAACAAAGCTCCAAAGACTTTCGACCCGATGTTTCAAGCGAAGTTCAGTCATATTGATCAAGGACAAGCTTTTCTATCTGCGGCTTCTGAATTGGATCCCACTAGCCCCTTACTCCTTATGACTTCACTGCGCTTCGCTTCAGCGCATCGTCTGTTGGGTAAGAATCTTTTGGACATATTGATCAAAAGGGTGACAGGCGAGATCTAATTCGACCGCTCAATGAGCTTCAAACATTAGTAATTCAAAAGTATACAAACAAAGCGAAGCAAAGTTCAGTCAAAGTTTGATCCAACCGGCCCCACTCTTCCTTCACCCGGATTGAGGGGCTCAACATTCCCTATAATAAAGGAATTCCGTGGCAATCCGAACCCATTCACAAAAAACTCTACTCAACACTTGAATGCAAATCCATCTTTTTGATCCCATTCAAAAAAAAAAAAAAAAAAAAACTCTACTCAACACTTAACTAAAAACCCATCTTTTTGAAAAGGATGGAAAGAAAAGACAGTTATAAAACTATTTTTCTTAGAAAAAACATAGAACACAGCAGGTGTACCTTGTGCATTCCTTGTGGATCTAAAATACAAGGATTTAGATCTATAAGAAATGCAAGATATATACACTATGTATTACTTGTCACGTACTTCATTTCTTTCATTCCTTATATAATAAACACACATTAGTATTTTCCATCATCATGAAGTTCAAGTATGCAGTCCCGAGTTAATTAAAATGATGGTAAAAAAAAAAAAGTGAATCAACTCTTTTAAGTAAAAGCACACAATGAGATGAAATTAGCAACAACTATAAATAAACCACATCCTATTGTTTTGCAATTATTGCACAAAACAGACATAATTCAAAGCCCAGGAGAACAAAAATAAAATGAAACTGGGCAGGCCGGCGGGGATCTCCCTACTTACGGGGGCGCGTGTCCTCGGGCTGCGCCACGCCCGTCGAGACCTTGGCCACGTCAAGGGCGGTGGCCTCAGGCTTCTTCTTGACGTAGATAGTGAAGTACCACAAGGCCCCAACGATGGCGGAGCCCCCTAACACCATGGTTGCGAGACCGTAAGGCAGCCGGCGGCGCTGGTGGAGGACACCGCCGGGGGATGGGCCGCTGCCCGGTGGCCGCACGGAAGCTTCCACCCCGGCCTTTCTCACCTCCTCGGGGCTCATCTTGTGCGTGTCCGCGTTTTTTCTCCACTCGTCGCTTCTCGCCATCTGTAGAATGTAATGGGAGTTTATGCTTTTACTTGTATTTTCTTCTATTAACTTGATTGTGTTGAAGGTTATGGTGGGTGGACGCAGTTCTGATGAATGAGAAGTAGTAGGGTTTGCCACGAGGTGCTTAAACACGTACGTGTCGTTTTCTCAGGCTACTCGTCTACGTGGAACTCTGATTTTCGGACAACAAATGAGTAACAATATTAGTTTTAAATGAAACCGTTCCTAGCATTTTCGGAGACACCCCTAACCGTATAAGTTAAACCATCTTTAAAACAATAATTTTATCTTTCTAATATATAATGACTTGTTTGAAAAATATGTTTTGGATGAATTAATTTTCTTTTACTTTTACATAATTTATCTTATATAATTAAATTAGGGATTTACCTAATATGGTTGCAATGCAAATTTGGTATTCTTACATTAATACACACGAGAAATTCGTAGAAATTGATTTCAACGGATCAAATAAAATATATTAATTTATAAATTTCTATTATTATTATTCAGATGAATTTCTTCAATAACAATCTTAAAGTGGATTTGAACCTTTTGGAGATGAATATTCAGTTTTATCTCCGCTATTCTTGAAGTTAAATAACGTTTTTCCGAGCGCTTGACAGTTTGGTCTTGAATAGAACATTGTAATTTTTCAGGAATGTGAAGAACACGAGTACTTGGTTTTCGCCGCAAAGTCAATCTTGAATCTTCCATAAGCCAGTATTGGCTTTTAATAACGTATTTTGAAGGTTTAGCAGCTTGTTTTCAGATTAAACGTCAATCTTGAACTTGAACGCTCATGAATCGTGCTTCGAATCTTCAAGAACACTTCAACCTCGTCGAGAGAACTCTCTAGAGCTCTTGAACTTGAATATGAATTGTCTTTTTACCTTAGGGAGAGCTCTATTTATAGGTGTTATGATAGAGTCTTGGAAAAGAAGACTTAAATTTGATTGGTCAATGAATTCCCAGTATTTCTTTTTAATAATTATTTAAAGAGAATTAGAAGACTTCAATTTGATTAATCCACGAATTTTTAATATTTATCTCTTTAATAACTGTTAAAAGAAATAATTATTTATTTTACTATCCAAGAAAATGACATGTGACATTCTTTAATTGGCCTTAAAAATATACATGTGATATAATTTACTTGACCAGAAATATTGATATGAAATACTATAACTAAGTGAGTAAACCGGTCGAGCAGGCTGGTCTACTAAACAGAGTAAACCACCTGGTCGAGCGAGATCCAAATGGGGCGGTCGCGGTCGAACCCCATAGGAACAAAAGCCTCCAGATTGGAAGACAACTTAAAAGAAATTTTGATACGAGAAGAGTAGGTCGAGCGAGAGCTCTCGGATAGACTGGTCGAAACTCTAGCTACGGAAACAAGTCGACCAAGAACTAGTCGAGCTTTCAGGTAGATGACAATTGAATCAAACATGTAACACCCTGCCTAGTATTACTAAAATCAGAGTAAATTTTTCGTGCTATAATTGGAAACTACTGGTTTAATTTTCGAAAATTCTTATTAATTTTTAAAAGTACATTAACTTTAATATGCAGGATGATACTCAACTTTAATCTTTATCTATTTATCTCTTTAAAATATTATGCATGCAACAAAGTGAAATTCATTCTAGAATTAAGGCCATGAAACACAAGTTCTGAGATGCGGAAGCAAAATACTATTTCAAACATCACACACAAGCATCAAACAAACACAAATAATTCAAGCATGATCATTCATACTACATGGCATACTATCTCGAAAAGATCATGAAGCTTTGACAACCACCACATATCAGCTCACGCGCCACGCGGAACTCCGTCACTGTTTGTAGAATTTTTAGGCATGTGGTAACCGAGTTACCCGACTCGGGTCGTTCTCAAATGAAAGTTGTTCGGAGCTACGAATTAAAAAGGTGTAATCAAATGTGTCTTCATTAATAACTTTTTAATACCTTAATAAAAAAAAAGGTGCAGTTGAAAGTTGGCGGAAAACTTTCTCATTAATTGCCCCGGCAAAAATCCAATTTTGGTCCGCTAATTTGTTCATTGTCTATTTTTGATACACTAACTTGTCCCTCATCAAAAAAGGTCCATTATGTTACACTTTTCATCAGTTTTAGTACGCTAATACCGTGGCCCGGGATTACGAGATGCCAAATCAGTTTTTTATCCTACCACGTCAACATCTTATCCCCCCACGTAGCTCCAATCTCGGTCCACGTCATATCGTAATCCCGCCAACTGGAGTAGTGTACTAAAACCGATGAAAAATGTGACATAATGGACCGTTTTTTATGAGGGGCAAGTTAGCGGACCAAAAGTGGACAATGGAAAGTTAGCGGACCAAAATTGAATTTTTGCCTAATTGCACCATTAGTAGTTGAAGTTGCCTGACAACTTTTATCAGAAAATTTTTTATAATCATTCCTAATTACTATAAAAGAAGATAAGGGGAGGGACATCAAATCATCATCTTAAGTTCTTTTCTTTCATACGTCCGAAAAAAAATAAGGAATAATTCACGGGCTTTTGGAAGATCTTCAAATCCCAAATACAATTAATCAGTCAACATGAATTCATCAGGTATGCTTCCGCTATTCTGTTATGATTCTTGATTATTCAATATGAAAGCTCTTGGGATTAATATCGATTTATTTCGAATAAAGTTAAATACAATTTCTATCAATTGGTATCAGAGCATCTTCATATTGAATATTTGGGAATAGTTCTATATTTGATTCATATCGGAAAATCAGTTTCGTGCAATTGTTAATTGTACTGCCCTGATATTTGTTTTTGTTATAAAATTAGAGGGAAAAGAGAGAGAATAGAGAAAATGCTTCTCTTAGGTGCGATTTTCATTATAACTGAAGCTCCTATTTATAGGAAACTTATGATGGCACAACCGTAATAATACAATTACATCGGGGGCAAAATAGTCATTCACATACATAAAATTAATGGTGGTGGACCATATATATTTATAACACTCCCCCTTGAATGACTATTTTCTAAACATATTTGAATCATTATTTAAACAAAACCCAATCTGCACATCTTCAAGTATATCTTGTGGCCATCAGGTACCATTGCTTCAGCATGTCAGGAAAACCCGGTGGGACAAAACCTGATCATCTTGAAATCATAACATTTCTTCCTCAGGAAAACCCGGTGGGACAAAACCTGATCATCTTGAAATTATACATTGCTTCCTCAGGAAAACCCGATGGGACAAAACCTGAGTATTGTGGAAGTACAACATTTCTCCCCCTCAAATAGATAATCTTTAATTGAGTATCCATGTGCTGCCTCGTTAAAACCTTGTCAAGAAAACCCAGTGGGAAAAACTTGATCGAAGGAAAAAGAGTACAGCTACTCCAGTCTTTTCTCATCATCATGAGGAATCATATCAATTATCCAGCAGTCCTCAACTCCTCATTATACCATGAATATGCCTCATTAAAACCTTATTAGGAAAAACCCAGTGGGACAAAAATCCTAATGAAGGAAAAAGAGTACACTATTCATGTGAATACGCCATCCATGTTGCCTCATTAAAAACCTTGCTAGGAAAACCCAATGGGACAAAACCTCAGCCAAGGGAAAAAGAGTACAACGCGTATTCCATATATTCACCATAATAGCATTTCTATAATTTTTTATGAATATTATATAGATTCATTCAGATTTTTTGATACTGGTGGTATTTATGATAATATGCCATATCATGCTTTTGTGCAACTATATATCATTCTTAAACTCATTCTCATCATCAACCTATTTCAATGGTCTTACTGCAAATAGTTCACAATATTCTCATTTCAGTTGATTTCATTCTCATCAATATCATTTATATAGCGCTATTCATTTGTTTGTGTCGACACATATTCATTTTTATTATTCCCCGTAATATATTGAGATATCTCATTATCAATTAATTTCATCGATAGTATATATATGCCTCCATTCATCACTTATTTGGCGAATTTCAATTTGCACAATGTTATCGCTTCCAGCGTATTATTCCACCATCATATTATTTCATGTATTTCACTACCATCAGTATCATTCAGTTTATAATTTTCACTTTTTCAGTGTGATGCATATATCATTTTCCAATTTTCAACAATTGATTCTCCCCCTCATCTTAACAGATCCTTGATCTGTATTTTCAGTATGCAATTTCCTTGAGGGGAGTTCATACAGTCTCCATTTCGTTCTCGATTTCACCATATAATAGGAGGACTTTGAAACTCATATCACTTGTAATGTGCATATTTTTCTGTCAAGTGTTCATCATATTAACTGAGTCTATTACTAGCTTCATCACTTTCATATGACACTTATTTTCATTCTTTCATAATCATTGTGTCATTCTTTGATCAAATCAACTCGTAACTTCAGGTTACGGATCACACACATGTAGCTATCTAGTGGATCCATAATATCTAGCAGCACACATGGAGGGGTAGTGGGCCCATATATATCATACCCCTTTCATACTCAGTTTGATCAAAATCGATTTACAAATATTTAGCCAGTAATAATTTCACCAGTTGAGAACAAAGTATCTCATATCACAAAGTATCAGTTAATCATTAAAAATATCATCATTTATATCAGTAAACATCACAATAATTCATTGTGACCCATTAAACATATCACATCATCTTTCGGCGGCAATAAATGCACTTCAAGTGCAGATTCTGATCCACAATATTTAAATTCAGAATCGTATCACATGCGTATCAATCTTTCTGTCAGACAGACTCTTTGTTTTTAGATTCGTGTAGCATACGCATCATTTCTATAAATTATCAGTCAATCCATTCAATATTTCTGAACAAAGGTCCGAATTTACATATGGATTTGGCACTCTCAAATATCCGTAAATATTATTCTTTTGTTCCAGTAAATATCATAAAAAGAATTTATCGGTCTCGAATAGAAAGATTGAGGGTGCTAATGATTAATGATAT